TTCTGTATTTATAAGGCAATATTCACCATGAGTTCAAAACATATTTTAATTCAAATTGACAGTGCAGTAGTGAATTCTAAGAGATGTTAATATGGAGAGATACAAGGAACATAGAAGAGTTAAAAGTTGAAGTAAAAAGGACTTGGGGTTATATGGTGTTGAGCCATGGAAAAGATCGAAATGCATTCAAGAAAACTGTTGGTTAGTGAATCTAAACCTCTCTTTTTACCTACAATAAAATACCTAGTTAAAACCAAATAAAAGATTCAAATAGAAAAAAATTATGATTGTATTGTATATCATAGAATGCTTTTAAAGTATTTACTTAGCAACAACTATACATTACTGAAAAATAGTCCTATTTTAAAAAACAAATGAAATAAAATGTCTTTAATATGTCTTGTCCAAAGTAATGCTGAAGAGTACTTGATTTCATTAACATATCTGTGCCAGTGTAACTATTTCCTTCTGATGAATTTTTAGAAGTAGAATTGCTGGGTCAAAGGGTAGGAAAAAATTTTAAGACTCCTTTTATATACTATATGAATGTACTCTTGAAGATTCTATCAATTTATAAGATTTTTTTCTTTGCAGTTGAGACCATGGTATAAGTACAGTTTTGAATTTTCTTTTTTACTTAGCAATATACATACTTTCCATGTTATTAATTTTTAATAGTTGTCTAATATTCTATATTGAGATATCATAATTTATTTAACCATTCCTAGTCTGTTGTGAATAAGTATTTATTTTTGTGAATAAAGTTTCGGTGAACTTATTTGGGCACAAATTTTTATCCATATTACAGGTTATTTTTTAGGTTGCATTACATTTCTAAAAGAAAAATCACTGTGACAAAGGAATAATTTTTTTTTTTTTTTTTGAGACAGTCTCACTTTGTTGTCCAGGCTAGAGTGAGTGCTGTGGCATCAGCCTAGCTCACAGCAACCTCCAACTCCTGGGCACAAGCAATCCTGCTACCTCAGCCTCCCAAGTAGCTGGGACTACAGGCACGCACCACCATGCCAGGCTAACTTTTTCTATATATATATTACTTGGCCAATTAATTTCTTTCTATTTATAGTAGAGACAGGGTCTCACTCTTGCTCAGGCTGTTTTTGAACTCCTGACCTTGAGCGATCCTCCAGCCTCGGCCTCCCAGAGTGCTAGGATTACAGGCGTGAGCCACCGCGCCCGGCCAGGTATAAATATTTTTAATGCTAAATTGATTTCTGGAATGATTGTAACAGTTTATAGTTCCACTGACAGCACATGATATTTTTCATTTTAAGACTTTATTGTTAATGTAAAATATTTTTAAAATATAATTTTATTTATTAGTCTTGATAGATTACTGAATTAAGATGCCACCCACCTTGAATCACACATCTTTTAAAATTATTAGGTGCTACTTCCAGCTTTTTGGATGAGTAGAATGTTTGGTTATTAGAGTCCGAGGGAGTTCAGCTTCCTATCCAATGCAGGAATCTTTGCAATTCTTTCAAGCACATCAAATTATTTTATGGGATGAAATTTGGCCTTTGTACTTTGTCTTAGAATAAAGTAAATTATTTTTGCTGTATTTGAAAACTTTTGTATAAACTTGTTAGGTGCATAATAGATGAAATGAATAATTATAATTCTGTCAATTTAAACTAAAACATATCCCATTTTTATTCTAACAGTCCATGTGTCCCACCAAATTTTAAAAAAATTAAAAAGCCAGAACTAAGGTAGTATCAAAACTTAGCAGTTTACATCAAATCAAAATCATTAAAAGTAATTATTTTGCAGTTATATTAACAAACATGAAATGTGGCTTTTCTTACCTAGTTAATAAAATAAAATGGTCTTGCTAAAACTTTACTGGTTGGATTGCTTTGGTTGGCTTAGATTTAAAAAGAAAAAGGGCTTTGGCAGGGTTGAAAGATGTAGCAAAGGAGGTATTTGCTGTGGCCTGTGCCAAGTAAGACATGCTGATGTTCAAGCTCTTTGCTAAGAGAATGCTGTGTGAAAGAGGACTTCCTGAAAAGAGCTGTTATCCACTACTCTTTTGAGAGCAGTCTCATCAGTAAAGAAGTGTGGATATAAGCGCCTGGATTGTGATAGTCTGGATAATGAATGGGAGGTAAGGTAAAGATAGTGAATGTAAAGAACTCTTTCAGGACGTTGGTTGAGGAAGGAAAAGAGATAGATACTATGATACATTGAGGGAGAAGAAGGATTCTCGGCCTGGATAGACTTGTGAAGGGTTGTAGGCTGTGTGAAAGGAGCCTAGACAGAGGGAGGAATGCGGTAGACTGCAGAGGAGACTAGGAAGATGGAATCAGGAGCAAATGGTTAGCTTTGGCAGCTTTCCCCATTGAGAAAGATGATAAAGATACTGAAGACATAAGTAAATCTTTAAAAAGGGTGGGAGGGTAAAGCAGCTTATAGTCAATGATATTTTTTTCTCTTGTTGGAGTTACTGTGGTTATCTGCAAAAAATGAGAGTGATGAGGACAAAGTTGAGCACGTAAAGAGAGGAGCAACAACTACTGAGCACAGAAGAAGGGAACTGATTAGGAATGAATAAAGATTGCTATAAGAATATTTACTGAAGTAAGAAGTAATATGTTTATAATAGTTGTGTGATATTTCTCCAGTATCTCTAGGCAATGTGAAGAAGGTGAGGAAAGTAAACAGTTTAATTGAGCCTGAGCTGACAAGGAACACTCTAGAGATGATAAAGGGCGTGTGTTGGAGTACGGTCAAAATAATTGACTAGGTAGTTCTGGCAGATAAAGAAGGAAATGGAAGGAGTTGCAAAGGGGTGGGAAGCAGTAAGTTATAACCAGAGAACCACCACCACCACCAAAAAAAAAGTTTGGTAAGGATGGGAGAAATGCAATGTTTGATGGTAGTGGTAGGAGGAGAATTTTACAGTTCAAAATTTCAGAGAGAATACAGTGATGACAATATCCAGTGTATATCACAGTGAATGGGTTGCTAAATTAGATGGAGGTGAAGTTCCTCAGAATATATAAGGTCAGGAATGAGCTAGAGTTGAGGATTTCTAGGAAAGAGTGGCATTGCAACAGGGTTTTGGTTAAAGTAAAGATATTTACAGTTATGTGATGCTTAACCAAGGTTCTGAGAAATGCACCCTTAGGTGATTTCCTCGTTTTGCGTACATCAAAGAGTGCACTTACACAAAACTATACACCTACTGCACACCTAGGCTACAAACCTGCACAGCATGTTACTATACTGAATACTGGAGACAGTGGTAAATATTTGTGTATCTGTACATATCTAAACATGAAAAGGTATAGTAAAAACAGAGTAGTATAATCTTATTAGATCATTGTCACTGTTGTTGACCAAAATGTCAATATATGGCACATATGTTTATTGTTTTTTTTTTTAAAGAGAAGATATAAAGAGGTTTACTGGTAGTAGCAGCTACAAATTAGGAGTTCCAAAGGAAGGTTTGGAAAGGGAAGGAGCTATCAGGAAAGGGAAAGTCTGGTTTGAATTGGGTGAAGATAAGAATGCAGAGTAATAGATTGGAGTGGCTTACTCTTTGAGTTATGGCTGTAGATTGTAGCAATGGGGAGCTACGGAAATGGAAATATGTGGGATATGAGTAAAACAAGCCTATTTTATTTCAAGATTCTGCTCAGATTTAGGTATAAAGTTGGAGTTCCTTCTTCAGAGCTTTACCCAGTATTACATGAACTTTCAAAATTATCCTAAATTAGGCCAGGCGCAGTGGCTCACGCCTTTAATCCTAGCACTCTGGGAGGCAGACAGATTGCTCAAGGTCAGGAGTTCGAAACCAGCCTGAGCAAGAGTGAGACCCCTGTCTCTACTAAATATAGAAAGAAATTAATTGCCCAACTGAAAATATAGAAAAAATTGTCTTAGCAGGGTGTCGCATGCCTGTGGTCCCAGCTACTCGGGAGGCTGAGGCAGGAGGATCGCTTGAGCCCAGGAGTTTGAGGTTGCTGTAAGCTAGGCTGACGCCACGGCACTCTAGTCCTGGCGACCGAATGAGACCCTGTCTCAAAAAAAAAAAAAAAAAAAATTATCTTAAATTATACAAAAGCAAAATTGATCATGAACATGATTTCTTTTAAAAAAAGAAAAGCTGTAAAAGCTTGCTTATTGTTGGATCTCCTGAAGTGTTATATAGAAGGTACACAATGTTTGCAATTTGAATGAATTCTCTTTTCTCCAAATACTAGTAGACTTCTAATAGGTAAGAACAAAAGAGGTTCTTAAGTTTATTATGTCTTAAGTTTATTATGTCTTTTTATCTTCTAGTCATATTTGCCAATCTTTGAAAATAGTTTAAATCTTTTATCAATTCTTAAGCTAAGGAATATTTTAACCATGATTCAAGAAAAGGTCTTTTAGGTAATAGGAATAGAAGTAGATATAGCAGATGTCTACATTTTCTTCTCATACCATCTAACGCACTGACAATGAAGTAGCTATTGAGTGAAACCTAGGACAGTTTTGGTAGCACTTTGTCAATCTCCACTTTCCACTCTTCCTTTCTCTCTTTCTCCTTCATCTTTACTTCTCATTGCTTGTGTATATACCAAGATCACCTGCTGAAATTCACAGCCATTGCATATCTTCACCAGTAACATTCAAAGCTAGAAAAAATTACTAGACTGTCTATTAAAATAATATACTTTAAAGTTTTTAATGTATAAGTCGTAGTTCAAATTAAGTGAACCATTTATTCTTTTGTTTATATATTGCTGGTTAATCAACATTTAGCCTCTTATTATACAAAAGTTTTGATTTAACTGCTGTAATAATTGCTTGCTACCTTTCATAAATTTGCTTATTATAATGATTTTGTGTCTCAGACTTTATATGTCTCGAAATTGCTCTCTTTATGAATCTTCATGCTATTCATATTTATTTGACCTTTAAGTTAAATGGTCTAAATGTTTTATAGCAATGACATGTCATAACATTCTTATTTTTTTTTTTTTTAATAGATTTGGGCTGAGCAACAAATTCGAATCAGAATTCCCTTCTTCATTAACTGGAAAAGTGAGTGAATTATTTATATACTGTTTATATGTCTCAAAACTAAAGTTTTTTCCTAGTAAATTAGAAAAAAAATGTATGCTGAGACATGTTTATTGACATTAATATTGCAATCTTATTATTAAAATTTTTCTTTAGGTAGCACCTGAAGAATTTAAAGCCAGCATCAACAGAGTTAATAGTTGTCTTAAGAAGAACCTTCCTGTCAACGTGCGTTGGCTACTTTGTGGCTGCCTTTGTTGTTGCTGCACACTGGGTTGCAGTATGTGGCCGGTCATCTGCCTCAGTAAAAGAGTAAGTTGACTGATATATTTTAATTTAAATTTAGAAGTAGACAAGCAAGTCTTGCATTTATCTAATTTTTATTTTTTTATGTTGACTAAATCATACTACCCTGAATACTTATATAAAAAAATAAAGTGATCCAGTAGAGGAGCGATTAAGTAAAATTGTTGTATATCCAAATGCTGTTATATTAAATAGCCATCTAAAATTGTATTTATAATTTTAGGAGCAGAGAGTAGAATACAGCATGGTCTATATGTTGCAGTGACAGTGACATAGTATAATGGTCAAAGATGCTGGGTTCAGCTCTACCACCTATCTTTGTGACCTTAGACATGTTTCCTAACCTCCTTAAACCCTCATTGAAACAACTGTAAAATATTCATCTACACCTGAATAGGATTGTTGTAAGGATAAAATGAAATAGTGCTTGGAAAGCTCTAAGCTGAATAGCTCAAAGGAAGTGGTTAATATGAATTGATTAGTGGCACTATTACTAATAAGTAAGATAGTACCCATAGAAGAAATAAAGTAGTTTCAATGATTATTTCTAGTTGGTAAAGATTATGGGGAATTCTGTTTTTCTTTGTCTTTTGTATTTTGTAAGTTCTTTGTAATGAAAAATGATTCTTTAATCAGAAGAAAAACTAAAGACTCAATTTTGACTGCTTATAGTAAAAAATTCCCAAGATGTTGGTAGAGATGGCAAATTATTAGTATAGATTGCATTATATTTGTGTTAAAGTTTTTAAAAGATGGCATTCATATGTATAAAAATGATAAACTGTTAAGTCGAAATTGAATGAATGGTTTCCTATGGCTATATAATTCATTTTGTCACCAAATAATGGTAAGAAATATGGGAAAGCAAATTCTACAGCTTGTGCCTTGATATCTGCAGCTCAGTGTTTAAATCTTCTTGATATTTTTCACTGATTTGGATAACTAGATTTCTGCTTTGCTTTTGAAACCCACCCCCAGTTTAGTACCCTCTTTCTATGACCTGATCTTGTTCCTGCAACCTTGTTTTTAATTATCCTGTTATCCCTGTTTTTTTAGAACTTCCAGATTGCCTTTCCCTTTTTTAAACTGCCTTATTTTTGAAAATTAATATGCATCGAAATTCATTTTTTAGTGTGTAGTTCTATGATTTTTAGTAAATGCATAGTTATATGTATAACCACCACCTCAGTCAAGATATATAACAGTTTTCTCCAAAAATTTTTTTGTCTGGTCCCTTTGTAATCAAATCCTCTTCAACTCTTAAACCCTGGCAACCACTGATCTGTTGTCTATCCCTACAATTTTGTCTTTTCTAGGACATTATATTAATGGAATTATACAGCATATATAGCCTTTTGAGTCTGGAATCTTCCATTTAGCGTAGTGCATTTGAGGTTCATCAATTTTCCTCATGTATTAATAGTTTATTCCTTTTTATGCTAAGTAGTTAAGTAGTATTCTGTTGTATGAATGTATCACAGTTTATCCATTTACCAGTTGGAGGACATTGGGTTGTTTCCAGTTTTGGTGATATTGAATAAAGCTTGCTATAAACATTTATATACATATTTTTGGGTAAACATATGTTTTCATTTAGAGGTGGGATTGCTGGGTTATATGGTAAGTATATGCTTAATTTTATAAGAAACTTCCAAACTGTTCTCCAATGTGGGCAAACCATTTTGCATTTCAACCAATAATGCAAGAGAGGGCCCAGGATTTGGTATTATTAGTTTAGAAATTTTAGTCATTCTAATAGTTATGTAGTAGCATTTCATTGTGGTTTTAATTTGTATTCCCCTTTTGACTAATGATATTGAGCATCTTTTCATGTGCTTATTTGCCATTGCACATCTTTTTTGTTAAAAGTGTTGGTTGAGTATTTTGCCCATTTAAAAATTATCTCTTGTTGAGTTTTGAGGATTATTTACATAATTCTTAGTATAAGTCCCCTGTTAGATATGTGCAAATATATTTTTCCAGTCTGTAGTTTGTCTTTTCATTTTCTCACCGATATCTAGTTGGCAGAGCAAAAAGATTTTGCTTCTGATGAAATTTAATTTATCACTTTTATAAAAACTGGATTGTGCTTTTAGTGTATTTAAGAATTTGCCTAAACCAGGGTCACAAAGATTTTTTCTTACCATCTCTTCTGCATTTTACTTTTAGGTCTATGCTCTATTTTGAGTTAATTGTTGTATAGGTGTGAGGTATAGGTCAAAGTTTTGTTCTTGTTGGTTTGTCTTTTGCATATGACTTTCCAGGTTTTCCAGCACCATTTGTTGAAAAAACTATCCTTTCTCCATTGAATTACTGTTACACTGACATTTATTGTCAAAAATCAGTTGACAGTATTTGGGTGGGTCTGTTTCTATACTCTTCTGTTGATCTGTATGTCTGTCTTGATCTTAATATCACAACATCTTGTTTACTATAGCTTTATAGTAGGTCTTGAAATCAGGTGGAGTGAGTCTTCCAAATTTATTCTTCTTTTTCAAGATTGTTTTGGCTATTTTAATTCCTTTGCCTTTATATATAAATAATTTCAGAATCAGCTTGTCAATATCTACAAAAATGCTGGGCTTTTGATTGGGATTGCATTCGATTTATAGATCAGTTTGGGAAGAGTTGACATTTTAACAATATTAAGTCTTCCAAACCGTAAACATGACATACCTCTCATTTATTTAGGTCTATGTTTTTTTAATTAGTATTTTGTACTTTTCTATGTAGCATATAGATTCCGATCATATTCTGTTAGCTTTATACATAAGTATTTCTTTGTGTTTGGTGTTACTGTAAATCGTATTTTTAAAATTTTGATTTTCAAGTGTTCATTCTAGTACATAAAAATGCAGTTGATTTTTTTGTGCATTATGTCCTTTGACCTTGCCAAACACTTACTAAATTCCAGAATTTTTTGTAGATACCATGGCTTTTGTTTTTACATAGATAACTGTTATCTGAAAATAGTGACAGTTTTACTTTCAATTTGTATACTTTTTGTTTCTTTTTCACTGGGTAGGACTTCCAGTAAAATGTTGAATAGAAGTGGTAAGAGTGGATTCCTTGCTTTATTCTTGATTTTCTCTATTTTTCTGTTTTCACTTTCATTGATTTTTTTTTTTTATAAACTCGTAGTGGAAAAGTAGAAAATATATATAGTATATAGTTTAATCAACCTGGTGGAAGCTAGCAAAGAAGAAAAAAGTAGTGGATAAGCTATATATAAATAAACAATACAATGTCAGATACTTTCATTGATTTTTCTTATTTCTTTTTCTTGCTTTGGATTTAATTGACTCTTCCTTTTTAGTTTCTTAAAGTGAAAGCCATTGATTTGACCTTTTATTCCTGGTATAAGCATTTAATGCTAACCATTTCCCTCTAAAGCACTGCTTTGACTGCATCCTTTCTACAAATTTTATATAGTATTGGAGGGTTTTTTGTTTTTTTAAGACAGGGTCTTGCTCTGTTGCCCACTCAGGCTAGAGTGCAGTGGTGTCATCACAGCTCACTGCAACCTTGGACTCCTGGGCTCAAGCGATCCTCCCTAGTAGCTGGGACTATAGGTGTGTACCACCAAGCCCAGCTAATTTTTCTATTTTTGTAGAGACGGACGGGGTCTCACTCTTGCTCTGGTTGGTCTTGAACTCCTGAGCTCAAGCAGTCCTCCTGCCTTAGCCTCCCAGAGTGCTGTTTATATGCCAACTACTTAACCTTTTTAGTTTGCCTCCTTTTTATTTATTTATTTTTTTGAATAAAATTGAAAGCAGAGATGCCTCCTTTTTAAAAGCGCTTTATGCTCTCGTATAAGATGACCAGAATTGTGTGGCTTTCTAAAAGTGCTTTCTATATGGATCTGTTGTAAATATGTTTCTGTTTCCTTTGTGCGTTTATTTATATTTAGTCCTATGTCAGGGAATCATTCACTTAGGAATAGGGAAGCAGCCTGCAACATGTGGAGGCTAGGACTTGCAGTTTGGTGCTGGAACCAACTGGTCTGTAATGTGACGTGTCACACTACTCTTTAAACCTTTCCTTGTACTGTTGTTTTAAGAATTAGAGTAAGTTCATGTAGAATACTTAATATAGTGTTTTGCCTATAGAAGGTGCTTAGTAAAGGCTGTTGCTATTATTATTATTTCGGTGTTGTTATTCTCAGTGACTGTCTTGTTAACTACTGTATCCCTGGTGCCTCTCACAGGGCCTACCATCTGTTAAACACTTGGTGTTCAATAAATATTTGTTGAAGTAATGTATTCTTCAGGTCTTTAAAATTCTTGAGTTAGTAAGATCGTAACACTTCAGAAGATACAGTCCTTACTAGTCAAAACAAGATTCCTTGGTAAACAGAAGCATCTTGCCGTTTACAGTACGACATTTTTCTGTAGGAGCAGTGTGATAAAATGTAAAGGACAGTGAAAACCAGTGTTTGAAGCTGGATGATCTTGAGAGTCACCTAAAACCTCTCTGCACCTGAGGGGTTTCCCCTCCTTCCCTTTCCTTTTCTTTTAATCTGAGAAAAGGACTGGCTACTCTTCTCTCAGGTACTTTTTCCAGCTTTAAAAAAACTATAATTTTTGAAAATTGAGCTCTGTAGGTCTACAAGTTATCTCTGTTTCCAAGCTTTAAAAATAAATTCTCAGTGTTGACTTTTATTTCAAATCTAAAGAATTTAACATTTTGGTAAATATTTTCACATAGATTTCTTAGGTTTTTTTCTTTCTCTGCATTTTTTAAGATAATTGCTATTTAGTTTTTGAAACTTTAGCTAAAAGGACCTATATTTTTCTTTTTAAAAGTGTTTTGTATGCATACAAATAAATAGTAATTCAGTTTTACTATATTTCTTTTACTTGAAGTTCTAGTTTACTTGAGTTTACTTCTGAATATCTTTTGTCTCAACTTCAAGTTGTGTTACCCAGTAATTATGAGTTACTCCAGTTAGAGTGCAGTAGGGGTTGAGAATCTAAATGGGAGAGGGAAATAGTAGAGTTTTGTTT